TCACTGAGTTAGTTCCTGAAATACTGGAATTGACTGACATCCATAGGAGTTTATTCAAGTGTTTCTGCAGACCATAGACAAGATACTCTGCTACAAATTATAAGGTATTATAGTGGGGAAAACCCTGTATCTGAGTTAGAAAATTGGGATTCAAATCCTGGCCTTACTATCTAAAAATTTTTTGACATTGTGTGGTAGTCTCACTGAGTTAGTTCCTGAACAAAATGTGACTATCTAAAAATTTTTTGACATTGTGTGGTAATCTCACTGAGCTCCTGAGCAAAATGTGGAGATTTAAAATTACCTGCCTAATTGGGTTAGCAGGTGGCATGGAGATTAAGGACTGGGATCCCACATGAACAACTGCATGGTTTGAGTCCCAGATTGGCACCTTGAAAATCATGCCAGGCATGTATGTGTGTGTGCCCAAGATCCCAAGAGAATGGAAGAGAAAGGATTGTGATGTGGCCATCCCCCCAGGAGGGGTGTGTTCTCACCTTCTGCCCCCCCATCCCTCTCCCCCCCCCACCCCAGTCTCTGGCAAGCACATGCAAGAAAGGGGGAAAATAAAAACTAGAAAAGAAAAAAATTATCTGTCCAATGTACAAAATTACCTGTCCAAGAGTGTTGTGGAATTCGGATGGGATGTTGTCTATGGGAAGTGCCTCATGAAGAATAGAGAGAAGCAGAAGTGCACAATGGCATCAGTATTATGAGGCCAGCCTTCCAAAGGCCGACAGTCTCAGCGTAAATGGTCCCCAGGACAGCGCACTAACAGTGAACAAGAACACGGGCCTTGTTCAAACAGTCTGTTATTCAAAGGTTACCAAATTAGAAAATGTTGCCTTCAAACTCTTCCCTACATAGAAAGTACTTTTTTCTTTTTTTTTTTTTTTGTTTTCTGAAAGGAATAGGTCACATTTATTAGATAATTTCCTGACGAACTGTAGATCTTGGGCCCAGTTTTAGAGAAATTTTGTAATGATCATAAAAAGTTTTACTTTCTCTTCTGTGTTTAACAGGATACTAAAAGTTATCCAATTTAATGAACTTTAAGTTAATGATACGGAAGTACTCTTATTTTCTAATGGACTATCACGTGTATTTGTATCCCTTCCTGCCAGACACACAGCCCTAGTGGACGGACGCCGTGAGGAAGGAAGCAGGACAGCACATGGTGTCTGTCCTCAAGCAGTTCACAGCTGCAGGGTGTGGCTAGAGGCAGGCTCAAAGCTGTCTGTGACTTGAGAAGAACTAGAGAAGAGCAACTCTATCCCCCTTTTAACTTGTGCAGCTATCTGAAGACCTCTCGGTCAAAAGGACATACATTCAAAATGCATCATTTCACTCTCACAGGCAAGAGAAGACAAGAAAATCATAATGTCTTTTAGCTTTATTGAAGGCATATTACAGTAGACAAACAAGTAGACAAACACATGCTATATAAAATATACATTCTTATGTGTGAGAAAATATAAATAGATACCAAGAAAGAGCCACACTGAATGATGACTTAGCTTACACCCATCTTTATTTATTATTATTATTTTTTTTTGGAGAGGTTTTCGCTATAGGGCGTGTGCGTTCGCCAGACAGACAGAGAGAGACAGAGAGACGGAAAGAGAGAAATCACCCCCCAGGGGGAATGGCCATGCCGCAATCCCCTCTCCTCCATTCTCCTCTCAGGATCTTGGGCACGCACACACATGTGCCCGGCGTGAGTTTAAGCCACCGGGTCCGGGACTCGAACCGCAGTCGACTACGTGGGAGTCCAGCAACATAGCCATTACGCTAACTGCTAGTCCTGCTTACACCCATCTGAAAGTACCTCTACTTCCAGGGCTGCTCAGACTGTCATCCTCTGTTAAAGAAGAAAAGAATAGGGCAAAGGAGAGAGAAGGAATAAGTTTCTCTACGGATCAAGAAGCCACATTAAGTAGCCGAGAGATTCCAAGAGCACTTGGCTACCTGACAATCAATTTCTCTTTCAAGACAGTTACATTTGGGGAAAGATCACCTTATGCTTTACATCTAAAAACAGGCATAAATCAAGCTGTTTCTTGACCTTCACCCCACCCCTTGGGGATCATTACAATGCTAGGAAATACTCAATACAACATTAACTCCTAAAACACCCATGTGCGCACACACATGCACTCCCGTACTACTCACAAAGTCTCCACACAACTCTTGGGTTCTCAGATGTTGTTTTGGTAAGTCCAACTTGTAATATATCTCTTTTTGTCAAGGAAAACAGGCAGTTGTCCAAAAAAGAAAGAAGGAAAGTCAAGGCTTACTGATGTTGGTTTAGATTGCACTCCAAACAAAACAATTTAAGGTAGAAGTGGGAAACCATCTACCAAACTGGGAAAAAAGACCATGTAATATAAAAATGGAGTCCAGCAACAAAGTTACAAAAAAAAAAAACAAAAACAAAAACAAAAAACCAACTTGGTCTTATCTAGGGCCCAGCTGTTTGCACAATTACCTGTGTAATCTGCATCAAGAAGCAAAGTGGGAAATGAAGGATGTCACATAAAATGACAGCAAATTTATCTGTTGTTCTATTACTCTTCTGGCAGTTCTGCAAATATTAAAATGATTAGAAAAGGCCAGAACACGTTACACATTTCGGTAAAATATTGGCTATAAAACTGAATACCACAAATTTCACACCATTCTAATTAAGAGTCCCATAGATTTGAAGAAACAAGAATAAGAATTAATCAAAGGGTAAAGGCAGAGTTACAATACATTCTATGCTTTACGTTTTTTAAATCATAGTAACACAATTGATGTTGGTAATTGCTTCCAGATTTCCTCAGGAGAATAAGTCCAGAATTTCATGTTTTCATGAGCACAACACAGGTCAGTCCCCTTTTGTCGCCAAAGTCTAAAATGCTTTACCTTAAAGAAAGAAAATCTAAAGTGCTCTAAACTAAATACAAAAGATTTTAAACGACACAGTTTAAGATTATCAGATTGCTTCTGGGGATTTCCAATGATAAAATTAAAAGAGATCTTTTAAGTCATCCTGTCCATATCCCATCTCAATGCAGGAATTTCTTTAACATGATTATTTAGCTTATGCACATACCTCTCCCCTGAAAGGGTGATTATTCCAGCTGTCAGATTAATTCAACTGTCAGAGTTAGCTTATATAGAATTCTTAGCAAATGTAAACTTTACCTCTCTGAACACAATTACTATCCTCTGGAATATCATTTGTTTTTCATATGACAACCCTTTAAGTAATTAAAGGCTTCTATTACATCTTCCTTTTCACAGCAAAATGGACAGCAGAATATAAACTGATAGACATTTTTAAATTCCTTAAACAACATCTCAATGGGCAATGTGAAAACAACGGTTTCTAAACAGGAAAGTTACCTTACTGAAAAAGATATATTCAAAGCAGTCTATTGTGACTTTTGGGACAACTGTACATTGGTGTAAGTTTCTGCTATGCCCTACCTTACAGAGTAGCTTGCATACTAGGGAAAGTACTTTAGAAGTTTCCAAGTGATGGAAAACCAATGGCTTAGGTACAGATCCTGGACCACTACAGGAAATGTTACTCTTCCAGGTAGACTGGGAGAAACCGTCTAAGAGGGGCACAAACAAATTAAGAAAACTTATGTATCCTTATTGAAAGGGAAGAAAGGGGAAGGATTTCAGCATTTCAGTTTGCCTCACTTTGCAACATCTCTGACTACATTACCATCAGGCAGACATTGCACTGTAAGGAAACACGATGAGCCACTAATCCTGTTTAAATTCGAGGGTTAAAGTATTGCTTGGTCAAAAACATATGCAATAATAAAGTTTTGATAACTGCTTCTGTTAGGGTTAGAATTTATTATTTTTTTTAAGACTAGAGGTAGGCTCTTCATATTCAAACAGATTCCTAATTATTTAGGCAAACTAGCAATATCTAGGAAGACATCTCAACCATCGAACTGACATAATGGGGGAAACCCTGGCCCTTCAGGAGATCAGGCTCTGAGCCCAATGGCAGGGCCCCTGCTAGAGCACTTGAGGCAACACTCTTACACCGAAGGTTCTCTAGAGCACCGGCTCGCAGCCTGCTTTTGCCCTCACACGTGATGACTGATGCTCACTTCATAATCTTTGGCAGCACAGCCCCGACTCCACCTTTCCCTTATTCAAGAGAGTCTATCAGAATTTGAAATGAAAGCACTATAATTAAAGGGATAACCTTGACTACATTAGGGAGGTAAGTGAGTCACAAACTAGTTACAAATTATCTAATCCCCTGGTGTGTTGTGACACGAACATTAGACCTGCTTGCTGCTCCAGAGAGTGAAGGGTGGTGTTTCAACAGAGTCAAGATTCTTTAAGTTTATTGACAATGTTTAGAAGCGTATTTTTTTCTTCACGAATACTCCTTAGCTCATTAATTCTGTTAGAGAGGAAATAAATCTGGCTCAAGTCAGAGAAGGCAGCATCATTCTTATTCTTCTCTAACAAACATTTCATGAAAGCAGCTTTTTATGAAAGTAGCTTAATCCTCCTTCGTTCCTGGAGGGAATTACAGATGCACATAATGTTACAGCTGGAAAGGCCTTTACGGAATCTAGTAAAATGCCCTGGTTTCAAAAATAAGAAAGTTGAGCCCAGAGAAGTAGAGACTCACCCATGATTACAAAACTAGTAAGGAGCAGGGCCACGAAGTGAACCAAGTCCAATTCCAAGTCAGTCCATACAAACTACACTGCAACCAAAGAAGTTAAGAACAGGAATCACAGATTGAAGGGATAGGAAAATAGTGCTATTTTAGAAATTCAAAGTAAAACTGAACAAAGGCTGAGAGTTTAAAGAGGAAAAAGTAGCAGCAGAACTAAACAGGTGAAGAAGTGCTACTATCTAGTAGAAAAAAAATAAATAAATAAGCTTGAAAACAAGTATGAAACCCAGCCCAACTTTCTGGCAAAAAGAAAAAAAAAAATTACTTTGAGTTCAGGGCTTTTGAAATGTACAGTGACACTGATATTTCTCTTCAAGTGATTGAAATTATCTAGTAAGAACATTACAATTAAATGGCAGAACTGGACAGCTTGTATTAAAAGAATCTGAAAGCACAAAGAACTTGAGTCCATTATATTCCATTAGTGTTAAGTTCTTTGTTTACATAAAGCTTTTACTATCAGAAATTCAGGAAAACTTTTTGGTTTAAATAATCTCTTGTACAAAACAAAGACCACTCCAAAGCTTTACAGTACAGAAATTTCTCTACACTCTTCTACTCCCAGAGCACTCTTCTCTTTTTAAGATACACTTACACTGGTAAGAGAGATTAAAAGCAAAAGAAAGAAAGAAATCAAGCAATCTTTGGTTTCTTTGTTAAAATACTTTGCTGAAAGAAAATACTCTCCAAACAGGTTTTCCTCTAGCCACATGCATGTGACTGTGATGGGTCTCCCAGGCTATAAAAGAGCCAGCTTTTTTAATGAAGAAAGGGATCACCTGGCACTTGTAAACAGATGGCAAATGATTAGATATATGAATCTCTAGGCATGATAAGGCAGTGAATTACACCAAGACTTGTGTGTATGCAATTACTAGGTACCCTGCCTCTATATACTTCTTAACGAACACATTTTTAAAACTTTAAACAGTTTCACATATCACTAAACCAAGTTATCCAAAAATCTGTGATCTAAGAAGCTGCTGTCAATATTATACTGGGATATCATATCATTTTGGCATATCAAAAATATTTACATTACAGTCCACACATAGAGTCAATGCATAGAAAAATTATTTATAAATGTACATGTATTTACAATGAGATCCCTGGGCAACAGCACACACACAAATTCACAAGATACAAAAACCTTTGATTTGTTACCAGTGTTCAAGCCTGGGATTCTTGCTGAAGACCTTGAATATCAAAGCCCCAGTCTCATCTAACTACTGGAAAGCAATGAAGAATCCAGGTACACTTCCCAGAAGACTCCAGTTATTTCTGCTCTTAGGAAGACAAAGCAGAACATCAAAGGAATGGTGTTTCCTCAGGATCATTCTGAGGAGGAGGACACTCCAGCATGGTGAGCAGCAATGAGACTCTTCCTGAAGAGCACGGCACAGCTGGGCGCATGCTCATGGAACCATCAGAAAGCACACTTTGCCCCGAACCTTCCTCCGCTGGTGCTGCACACTTGCCATTGCCCATCTCTGTCAGCCAGTACCCTCTCTTCGTCAGGTATAAGCTCAAACAAATGCCTGCCCCATTTTGGTGTGGTCAGATGTAATTGTAAACAAAGAGTAAAATAAATGCTGACTTTGGGTTTCTTCTGAACTCTGAGGTAGTAAATACAAAATTAAGTAATGAGTATCTGCCACGCTTTCATCCTGCAGTGAGTTTCATGTGCCCTCGCTGCTATCGTGAATGTTCTGAGTCCTACTAAAATCAAAAGTGTGCTCATGTAACCTGTGGCAGGACACGGGGGAAGTGGGGCAGTCTGGGTCCTTCTCTGCTAGGCCCTCATTTCGACAATGTTGTGGTGACTCAAGGACTGGCTGCTGGGCAAAAGAAGGGTGAGGCAGGCCTAGTTCTCTGTTTATGTTCCACAGAGGCCGCGGCGATGTTTCTGAGAATGGAAGCAAGAATTATCAATAGTGACTAGAAGTTCAAACTTTAATTCTTTAAAACTAATGCCTTTTTAATCAAATCCTCAAAGAAATAATGATGCCTAATTCTTCTGAAAAAGGACATTGAGATCACACGTGTACTTGGCATCATCTGAGACCATGGCCTTTCAAATCCATCTACTAAGCAAACCCAACCAATTATTACTTACTGAGATCATGATATATATGTCATGTACTTTCAGCTGCTCTGTTAGTGGTTCTGCTGCTCTAGAAATTTAAAAGAAACCTCTTTAGATACATGGGATAGAACTAAAAGAGGCTTATGAGTATGTGCATTATAATGAATATCTCATAATACAATAATAATCATTGATTCAGTGCACGTATTAGATCTTTAAATATGTTAAAAAAAATCGTTGCTGCCAAGTCACATTAGTTCAGGTGGTAGGGTGCTGCTGGAGTCATGTGGGAGGCCTTAGGTTCGGATCTCAGGTGGACTTGAACACACAGGGTGTGCCCATGAGTGAGTATGTGATTCTGGCTGGCTGAAGGGCTGAGGGGTGGATTTTGGCATGGCAAGATCTTGTTAAGAGAGCCTGCCTTTGTCTCTCTTATGAAAGAAATAAACAGTTTTAAAAATAAACCACCATTCCTTACCAACTTGTAGTATGCTAATAATTTTAACAACAAATAATAACCAAAAAGGGCTATATTAAATCAGATTATCTACACTTTGGTTTTTAAAATATATATTTCTCACTCTTATTTACTACAGTGGTGAACTCTTTTTTCAAATATTTTGTTTACTGAAAGTTACATTAATTTCATGAGGTGCATTTTGGGAAAAGCCACCACACATTTTGGAAACCACCACCCAGAAATAAAAATAAAATCCAGGGACCAGCAGTTGGCCTAATGGCTATGTCGCTGGACTCCCATGTAGTTGATCACAGTTCAAGTCTCAAACCTAGTGACTTAAACTCACGCTGGGTGCGTGTGCATGTGTGCCCAAGATCCCGAGAGGAGAATGGAGGAGAAGGGATTGTAGAGTGGCCATCTCCCCGAGGAGTGATTTCTCTAGCTTTCTGTCTCTCTGTCTTTCTGGCAAGCAAACACATCCTATAGCAAAAATCTCTCAAAGGAAAAAAAAAAATCCTAGTAAAAGGCACAAATTCCCAACCTTTAATATACAGACAAACAACCTGGTGGGCTTGTTAAAAGGTAAACTTGGATGCACTAAGCCTGGGGTGGGACCATGATTCTGCATTTCTAGCACCCTTCTACTGACTACAAGGAACACACCTTGAGTAGCAAGAAACTAGAATTCCCTACATAAAGAAAGGACAAATGCACCAAAGCACTCTCCTTTGCTGATTTTCTCACTTACAAACCAGATTTAAAATTAAGGGAGACAGGACCAGCAGATGGCATAATGGTTATGTTGCTGGACTCCCATGTAGTTAACCGCAGTTAGAGCCCTGGACCTGGTGGTTTAAAACTCAGGCTGGGCAGTGTGTGTGTATGTGCCCAAAAGCCTGAAAAGAGAATGGAGGAGAAGGGATTGTGGCATAGGCATTCACCCCACGGGTGATTTCTCGCTTTTTCTCTTTATCTCTCTTTATCTCTCTCTGTCTTTCCAGCAAACGTATGCACCCTACAGCAAGAGTCTCTCTCAAAAAAAATAAATAAATTAAGGCAGACGAAGAAAGAGAGGCATTATAGTCCCCAATTAATGGACTTAAGAATATAAAGTTCTTGGGACCAGCAGTTTATGGCTATGTTGCTGGACTCCCATGTATTCGACCGCAGTTCGAGTCCCAGACCGGATGGCTTAAACTTACACCGGGCACATGTCCATGCATGCCCAAGATTCTGAGAGGAGAATGGAGAAGGGATTACGGCATAGCCATCCTCCTGGCAAGTGATTTCTCGCTTTCTCTCTCTCTGACCACAGGTATTGATCACACCTCAAACCCTCCTCCATTTCTCCTTCCTTTCAGGATTTTGAGTGCACATGCACACACACACACACACACACACACACACACACATATATATAAAGTTCTTCTAAGAAAATGATGTATATGGTAAGATCTCTGTCGTGTACTGCATGCATATCCTGAAAAACAATACTCTGTACTACAGTGATATACAACAACTAAAATGTGAATAAGAAATCATAAAATTAAAAAATTTAAAAAGTTAAGGCATTTTTTTTTTTTTGAGAGATTTTCGCTACAGGGCGCGTGCGTTCACCAGACAGACAGAGAGAGACATAGAGACAGAAAGTGAGAAACCACCCCCCAAGGGGGATGGTCACGCCACAATCCCTTCTCCTCCATTCTCCTCTTGGGATCTTGGGCACACACGCACACGCACCCGGCGTGAGTTTTAAGCCACCGGGTCCAGGACGCAAACCACGGTCGACTACATGGGAGTCCAGCGACATAGCCATTACACTAACTGCTGGTTCCCAAAAGTTAAGGCATTTTAAGGTTAGAAAAAAGATACACTATATTTTTGGTTCTTAGACGCTTTCTGTATAACTCTCCGACTTGCAGTATGCTAATAATTTTAACAAATAATCAAAAGAAGCTATATTACTTAGGACATGAAAAATGATTTAGTGGTAATGTATTTCTTTCACAAACAGAGTGTAACGTTAAGAGCCTAACATCAATACTACTTTTCTCTGACATGTACACTCTTCAGCAATCTGTAGAGTTGGTCTCTTAAAAAATAGCCTATCTATGGGCAAGCAGGTGGCATAGGCGGTAAGGCACTGAATCCTTCAAGGCCGGCTTCAAATCTCAGACCCAGAGGCTTGAAAATCACACTGGAGCTTTTGCGTGCATGCTCAAAATTCCAAGGACACTGTAAATAGTCTGCAGTGTGGCCATCTCCTCCGGGGAGTGATTTCTCACTTTTTCTCTGTCTCTCTCTGGCAAGTGTACATGCCCTATAGCAAAACACTTCAAAATAATAATAAATAAAAAATTAAAAATAAAAATAAAAGAAGGGGCCCATCTAAAGTCCTGAATTAGGTATATACTCCTTCCGTCCCTGGAAGGCCCACTATATACACTCTGCCTTCCTCTATAAACCTGTAGTTTTCACCCCCTACCCACTCTCAGCACTCATCTATTCCAGGCTGACAGGAGGAAAACAGCTGATGAAAAGCCTGGGTGGTTAGGAAGACATGCTTAGCAGAACCTTTCATGGTCTAAAAAGTCTTCTTTTACTGACCACGATGTTAAAAAATGCCTAATCTATACCAATACAATGTATACTTCTTTTCATGGCCATGTGGGACAAAGAACACTATCCCCAAATTTTTCCTATTTAGGGCCTTAATCATTCTTCATAAGAGAAAGAAAATACTGCCAAGTGAAGCTGAAAATAAATATTTACCTGACAGGACAGCATCCAAACAAAACATTTTAAAATCTCAGAAAAAGCCTTCACCAAAGTATGCCCAAATTATATTCTTGGCATTTCAAATCTCCATTATTTAAATAAAGAAATGAGAAAAAATTATTCATACTCTGTATTAAACTTTCTAAATACCCTTCTTCTGTATGGTCTCTGAGTTTTCAGTGATCTTGTCGCCCCTATAAAAGGTGTTTTCATCCTACGGATGGAGACTCTTTGTAACTCTAATGTGTAAAAATCGCTGGCTCTAGTTTATACCAGTTAACAATCGTCAGTTACTCCAGCACACCAATTTGTTTGCTTCCTTGTCAAATGAGAGTGCACCTCTCTGAGACAGAAGGAAAAGTCAGGTGAAACTGAAAACAAAATAAACAAAAAACTGTACCCCTTACCACTGCTCCTTTGTATGGAGGCAAGTTTCTTCTCGTTTATCCTCTCATGGTTGGTGGGAAAGGCAGACAGCTCTCTGTCTGCTGATGACATCAGGCTTTCCAGGACGCTGGCATCTTGAGGAGGCTGTGTCAAATATGTCTCTTTGGGCATCTGAACCATAAGGCTGGAGAGTGTCTGATCAAGAACATCCTCCTCAGCAATATAGGTATACGGGCAGTACTCTCGAGTCCTGGAGTAGATGTTGGCATTGTCATAACAATCTGAGCAGATCACCCGAGTACCAGTGCCACCTAATGACAACATGGGAAAGAACCCAAACATCCTTCCATTAAGGGATTGGTTTTGCCAATCATCAGTGTTCTGCAACAGCTGTCATCACCACTGCTACCATTTACTGAGTACTTACTTTATGAACCAGGTGAAGTTTCAAAATTTTCTGTGAACTAACTTACTCCTTACAACATCTCAATGAGGTAAGTACTATTATCCCTACCTCATAGATAGGGTAACTACAGCATACAAAAGTACTTTGACCAAAGTCATACTGCAGGAGGAGGAGCTAAAATCTGACTCAGGCACTCTGGCTCAAGAGCCCAGCTCTTTTTTTTTTCTTTTCTTTTTTTGGAGAGGTTTTTGCTATAGGGCACGTGTGCTCGCCAAAAAGACAGACAGAGAGACAGAAAGTGAGAAATCACCCCTTAGGGGGAGATGGCCATGCTGCAATCCCTTTTCCTCCATTCTCCTCTCAGGATCTTGGGCACCACATACACATGCCTGTCATGATTTTCAAACCTCTGGGTCCAGGACTTGAGCTCTGGTTGGCCATGTTTGAGTCTAGGCCTTAATTACCACACCACCTGCTGGCCCTTATGCTGCTTAACCTCTTAACATGTGAAAGTAACTGGGCTTTTATGACGTTAAGTCATTATAACTCCTTGTTCTCTGCTTTAGTTTGCTTAAGTCAACCATGTTTCTTGTAGCAAAGTACAGCCTTGTCCTTACTCCCATAATCTGAGCATCACCTATCCAGGCTGGACAAAGATGGTTAATGTAGTGTTCAAGAGCTGGGCTTGGGACCAGCAGTTTGTGTAATAGGTATGTCGCTGGACTCCCATGTAGCTGACCATGGTTCAAGTCCCAAACCTGGTGGCTTAAAACTCACGCCGGACACGTGTGCCTGCGTGCGTGCCCAAGATCCCAAGAGGAGAACGGAGGAGAAGGGATTGCAGCGTGGCCATCCTCCCTAGGGGTGTGATTTCTCGCTTTCTGTCTCTCTGTCTCTCTCTGCCTGTCTGGTGAGTGCACGAGCCCTATGGCCAAAAAAAAAAAAACACCTCTCCAAAAAAGAAAAAAAACAAAACCAAAAAAAAACATAAATAAAAACAAAGAAAATAAAGCTCAAATCTGAAAAAAACTTGTTCGTGGTCACAGAGATACAAAGTGAAAAAACTAGGAATCAACCCCTATTTTTCTATCTCCTAATTCACCTCCCCATGTCCCGTCACCCTGTGATGGGGGGTATGGAAGAGCAGAGAGAAGTCGTGCTGAAAACTCAGGTTCATTTAATTAGGGAGCATTTCACATCTCTGATGTTCTCCAATATTTACTGAGAACCACTGCTGTCCTTTAAGCTTTACTGAAACTTTACTTTCAGGAGGAAAAACAAATCTCCCCTGAATGTGGACTGAACAATGCTCATGCCTGAAAAGGGTAAGAGACAGTGTCTCAAGTACCCCCCTTCTATAACCACATAGGTTTGGAAGGCTTGGCTGTGGATTCCAAACCCTTGTTTAGGAACAACGTGCTTCTCCCTTTTATAAGATGATTTTCTTCCCTTATTAAAGTCATAAGTCCATTTCTATCCCATTTTGTGTGGACTAAATGTTTTTAATATTTTAAAATACTGCTTCAGAATAACAGGGGAACTACAAACTGAAATGTATATTTGATGGGACAGGCTGAAACTAGATATGGTAGATTGTAACCATAAACAAAGAGCCATTACCGTCAGTGCCTTTGTGTACGTAGCCATTGGCAGGAGGCATAAGCTGCTGGTGACTGCCTGCTTCAGAGTTGCTGTAGCCTTCCTGTGGCTCAGACAGTGTTCCTTGGGAAGACAAGTAGCTGGGAATATCTGCAGGCAGATTGAGCTCCTCTGTAAAAAGAGATATCTGTCACTCTCCAAGGAAGGCAATTGAAGTCAAAACCTAGAAGACTATTTTCCAAGTATTCCACTTGGATACTGTCGGCCAGGAAGTACTAGCTCTGAGTACTCCCCTAAAACTACTTCTCCCTAGAATTCTTCTTAAAATTTCCTTTAAAAAGTACTACCGGGACCAGCAGTTAATGTAATAACTATGTCGCTGGACTCCCACGTAGTCGACCGCGGTTCACGTCCCGGACCCAGTGGCTTAAAACTCACACCAGGCGCATGTGCGTGCATGCCCAAGATCCCAAGAGAGTGGAGAAGGGATTGCGGTGTGACCATCCCTACTGGGGAGAGATTTCTCGCTTTCTGTCTCTCTGTCTCGCTCTGTCTGTCTCGCGAGTGCACGCGCCCTATAGCGAAAACCTCTCCAAAAAAAAAAAAGTACTACCAAAAGAAACAGAACCTAAAAGCTCCAAAAAAAAAAAAAGTACTACCAAAAAAAACAGAACCTAAAAGTTGAAATTTGTCTACAGGCATATTTTCACAATCTATTTGGCTAGAACACTTCTCTCACACAAATTCGGAGTGAGAGTAAAAAAAAGACTGACCAGGATGAGCCAGCAGGTAGCACGGAGGTTAAGGTGCTGAATCCCACATGGCTGGACTGCACAGTTCAAGTTCTGGACCCAGAAGCTTGAAAATAATGCTGGGCTCATGTGTGTGCATGCCCAAAAGCCTGAGAGAAGAGGAGAAGGGATTGTGGCATGTCCATCCCCTCTGGGGAGTGATTTCTCACTTTCCCTGCCTCTATGTCTCTGTTTCTCTCCAGCAAGCACACACGACCTATGGCAAAAATCTATAAAAGACCAACCTCAGTTTTAAGGGTTCTGCTTTTCCCTATTGCAAAATTATGATGGAAATGAGCTTTGGGCATTAAAGAAAGGTGTTCTTGGGACCAGCAGATGACGTAATGGTTACGTTGCTGGACTCCCACGTGGCCAACTGCAGTTCAAGTCCTGGACCTGGCAGCTTGAAACTCAAGCCAGGTGTGTGTGTGTGTGTGTGTGTGGCCATGTGTGTCCAACATCTTGGAGGAGAAGAGATTGTGGCATGGCTGTTTCCCAGGGATTTCTCACTTTCTGTCTCTCTAGTGAGTGTGTGTGTCCTACAGCAAAAATCTCTTAAAAAAAAAAAAGTGTTCTTATAATATCTTTGTAAGAGCTAAGTTTGGAGAGAATGTTTATAAATCATTCCTCAAAGAGGTCCTATTATATCAAGGAAGTTGGACATTTTAACAGAAAAACTTCCTTACACCATATTATCAGATAACGTACCATAGCCCTTTAGTTCTTCATATTTTCTAATAAAACTATACTACATTCTTAATGTAAGAAAAAGCCAAAGGCATCGCTCACCTGTGTTTGTGATACTATAGTCTTCATTTTTCCTTCTCATGTGGTAAATAACAATGACCCAGATCAAAGAGGTGCCCACAACACAACAAACCACAACAATGATGACGATGCCAATTGTGGTCCAGCCATCATCTTCATGCCCAATGCTACTCTGGGAAGAGTCACAATTGGGGGATGAAATGACATTTAGGTAAATGTGGCCACGCTCTGTCCCAAGGGTGTTAGACATAATGCAGGTATATTTCCCAGCATCTTCCAGTCCAGCATCTACAATGATGAGAAGCTGGTTGGCTGCAGCAAAGAAGTGCCGTTCTGTCACAAGCAGCGGTCCATCATCCTTAGTCCAATTGAGGCGAGGAGCAGGACTCCCTCCAGCTATGCACTGTAATACCGCTGTTTCACCTCGGGTTACTGTCTTGTCCTCCAGGGGTCTAATAAATGAAGGCGTCTCTAGCAGGAGTATGTTTAAAAAAAAAAATCAAGTTAGACAATTTTATTCCCTAAATCCAACTTAATGAGAATAGGATGAAATGAACACTTTCATATATTCAGGGTATTAGAAGTAAATGTTTTAGGAAAACAGAAACCTTAAACAAACAACCCTAAATCTAGAGCCAATAGGTAGCAAAGTAGTTAAGGTGGCTAGATTTCACATGGCCAACAGTGGTTCAAGTCTGAGACCATTCCAGCTTAAAAAAACACAAAGGGATGTGAACATGCATGCCCAAAATCCCAAGAGGAGAATAGAGAAAAATGGACCGCAGCATGACCATCCCCTTGTGGGAGTTTTCTCACTTTCCCTTTCCCTGTCTGTCTCTCTCCAGTGAGTTCACACACCCTATATGCAAACTAAAACCCCTAAATCTTATCTCAACAATTCCATCTAGAATGCGGCTCCATAGTGCAGGGGTAGTGCACTGCTCAAGAGAAGCTACATTCCACAAGGTGACCAGAATTCAAATCTCCAGCCCAATTAATTTCCAAAACACATCAACATACACCCAAGTGTCCAGGATACAACCAACTGGAGGACTAGATAAGGGTGATCAGATCCTATGAAGGGTACTCATCTTTTCCATTGTCTCGTGTGTGCACACACTCTATCATGAATAATAAAGAAAGTTAAAATAAAAAAAAGAAAAAAAATTACTTTGAGCAAGCAAGCTATCATAAGAAATTCAAATATTTATACACAGAGATGTTTATACAAAATTGTCATTAAAAAAAAAAAAAACAAGGACCAGCAGATGGTGTAATAGTTACATTGCTGAATTCCCACATGGCCGACCACAGTTCTAATCCTGGACCCAGTAGCTTAAAACTCACACCAGGCACATGTGTGTACATACTCAAAATCCCCAACAGGAGAATGGAAGAGAAGGGATTGTAGCATGGTTATCCCTCCTGGGTGTGTGTGTGTATGTCTGTGTGTGTGATTTCTCACTTTCTGTTTCTGTCTCTCCAGCTAGTACACATGTCCTATTACAAAAATCTCTCTTTAAAAATAATAATAATAGTAATAATGATGAGGCAGCAAATGGCATAGTGGTTATGTAGCTGGACTCCCTCACAGTCAACTATGATTTGACTCCCAGATCCAGCAGCTTGTAACTTACGCCAGGCGTGTGTGCATGCCTAAGATTCCAAGAGTAGAATGGAGAAGGGATTGTGGTATGGCCATGCCCTTTGAGGGAGTAATTTCTTGCTTTCTGTCTCTCCAGCGAGTACACGCACTCTATAGCAAAAATCTCTCTAAAAAAAAAAAAATTAAATATTTAAAAAAAACTAGAAACCTAACAAGAAAATGACTAAGCAAATTACAGCACACATGTGATGTTTTGTGGAAACTTTTTAATGACAAGGTCTGTCTGGTGATAAATATTATATGGAAAAAAGTAGGCATACGTAACTATATAAAAATGAGTTTAAAAAACATAGTCTAGAATATGCTAAAATCTTCAAGTGTTTGAGTGACTTTCCATCCATTTTCCCAACATTCTGCATATCTTAGATTTAACATAATGAACTACTGGGCCAGCAGGTGGCATAGTGGTTAAGGCACTGGGCTCCCACATAACTGACTAGAGTTTGAGCCCTAGACAGGGCAGCTAGAGAATCATGCCAGGTGTGTATGCATGTGTGCCCAAAATCCCAAGAGGAGAACAGAGGAGAAGGGACTGCGGCATGGCCATCTCCTCTGGGGGTGATTTCTTCCTTACCCTCTCTCTGTCTCTTTCCAACAAGTACACAAGTCCTAAGGCAAAAACCAAAATAAAAAGACAAAGATATAAAAGACTTAAGAATCAAACTGAAATCTCAAAATTATTGTTCTTGTCTATATACCAAGAGTAGCTCCCAAAGGCTACACTAAAAGCAAGATTCGTAAACAGTAAACCTACCTAACACTGTTAGTGAAGCGTTTGCTGAGAGGCCTCCTGCTGTATTTTGTGCCATGCAGCTATAGATTCCCATGTCTTCTATTTTCACGTTGGCAATGAAGAAGACATCATCTTCAGGCATGACGTGCATGCGTCTTTCTCGAGCTGCAGGAAAGTCAGTACCACCATCTTTCTGCCAGGAAATCTGAGGTGCAGGGTGCCCCTCTGCAGCACATTCCAACCTGGCCATGGCACCAGTACGAATAGTTAGATCCATTGGAGTTTTCAGAAAAGACGGCATTTCTGTTCCAAGAAAGATCACGGAGAAAAAGTGGATAGGGAGAAATACATATAGTCTCCTCTTATTCACAAGAGTTATGTTCCAAGACTTCCAGTGGATGCCTGAAACTGCAGATAGTATTGAACCCTATAAATACCATTTTTTTCCTATACATACATATGTATGACAGTTTAATTTATAAATTAGGCATAGTAAGAGCTTATCAGTAAGATGGAACAATTGCAATAGTATACTTTTATAAATTCCGTGAATATGGTCTTAATGTGGTCTCTCTCAAAATCTTAGTGTACTATACTATACTATACTCTCTTATTTTCCAACCATAGCTGACCACAGGTAGTTGAACCACATTAAGTGAAACTCCATGTAAGGAGAGACTATTATAAATACACACACATACATGTAAACAGATACACATCAAAGAATCTGGCAGGCAAAATAGTAACTACTACAATGCTCTATTTCTTTCAAGAAGACAGGTCCTCTGGATTTACAGAGAATGCAGCTTTAGAGGCCATCTTTTCTCCAGAGTATTTGGAGTAATGGTAACTATTCCAAGGATGCAAAACACACTTATCTGATCACCCTGATGGAAATAAGGAAAGCCACAACCCTTTTTAACTCTGTACTTTAGGGCCTGATCTTTACTATGACTCCCTCACTTATGACACTAAACAATGCTTCTCAAGCTATCATCTACAAAGCTGCTAGGAGAACTACATGTTAAAAAAGAGTTATGCCTTCAAAACTCTCATAAAAAAATAGGGAGAAAAAAAACCACGGAAGCAAGTCAATAATAGTATTGAGTCCTCTGAAAAGTCATGATACATTTTTGCCTAGAAAAATGTGTCACAACTTTTCTGAGGACCCAATACATCTTCTAGTTGCACAAAGCCTAAAATGTTGTATTTACTAAATCTGAGAGGTAATAGATAAATCAAGCTGTTTTAAAGAAGTTTTTGGAGCCATTGCTTTCAGAGCATTACTTTCAGAAATGATTCTGTGTGACTACATTTAGCCAACGGTATTCATCATCAGATCCAGAGATATCCTAAATATTCTCAGTTACTAGAAGACCCCTGACAGCAGAAAGAATAAAATTTCACAGCTTTCAGTAGTTCTGGAAAGAAAACTGAGAATTTCTGGCAGCCTGAGGGTGCCACAGCAGTAACATAAGTACACTCGCATGCGTGAAAACAGTCCTGTGTTCACATCCTGGGCTCTCCCTGAGCATGTTAGGTGCGTGCATGTTGTGGTGTGAGCTGGCTGAGACTAGGGGTAGATCCCACTGTGAAGACCCTGTTGGGGATGGCTATCTCCTTCCTTACCTGTCTCTCTCTCATGGAAGGAGTAAATGTAAAACTTCAAAATAAAAACAAATTGAGAATTTAAAAAAAAATGTTTTCAAAAACATAAACAGCACCTGAAGTAGCATATATCCTATGGCTGTAGAATTTACTCCTCGATCAAAGATCAATTAGGAAAACTGAGTGGGTAAACTGACTAAATCAAAAATCATACCCACTTAATACTTATTATCACATCCCAGAACATAACAGTAAGTTCTCCCTCAAATGTCAGGTTTAACCTAATTTTCTTGGTCAAATGGTTCAAAAACGAAACATAAGAAATCCTTAACTCAAACAAATCAAGGAACATCATTTCTTACCATTCACAGTCAGTTTGGCCTTCTGAGAATAATTAGAACCAAAGTGATTAGTAACAATACACTGATATTTTCCTTCATCTGTAAAATTTACACTGAAAAGATGTAAGATACTAGTATATTCCAGAGCTTCTCCAGCTTGTTGTCGATAACGAACAAAATTCTCAATATCCACATCATACAAAATTTCACTGTCTTTGCGCCACATGGTGGACATGGGTGAATCACTGCTGCTCACTGCAGTGCATGTCAGAGTCACATTCATGCCTCTTAGAGCAACCGTGGTTTCAGGATGTGCCCTTATCTGCGGCTTCAGAAAATCATCTAATGGAAAAATGCAGCAGAAAACAAGCCAGTTATTTATTTTTGCTTTTTTAGATTCAATTTTAAAACAAATACTGTAAAATAGCATGTTCTGTTAACAAAGTAGCAAATTAAGGTCAAAACAAAAAAGACTATAGAGCTAGCATCCAATTTCCTTGTTTAAAGATGGGAAAACAAAGTCCAAAAAAGTCAACTCTTCAAAGACATGCAAATCAGCTGCTGAGCCTAGACTAGAATTTAGGTTTTTCTGACTTAAAGATCTAGCACTTTTTCCAATACTCTTTTTACTGTCATTTGTGTGCCTGAAGTGCATTTTTTTAAATTTACTTATTTATTTTAAATTACTTAATTTGGGGACCAGCAGATGGCTTAATGGTTACATATTGGACTCCCGCATAGTCGAGTGCAGTTTGAGTACCAGACCTGGTAGCTTAAAACTCATACCAGCAAATTTTGATGAATAGAAAAATGTCAATGTCAAATTATGATATAATGGTAAGCAGCCATTAAAAAAGAATAAGGTTGATATAAATATACTAATAGAAAATACAAATACAATCATTTTGCTTTCAAACATTGCAGATTTATTTGTGTTTACAGGAAATAGTAGTGGAATATGTCTATAGTGTTTTTATTCAAGTTTCCTGCTGTCTGAAGAAGTCAGAGAGGTAGATATATCTAAGCTGAGGCCTAGAAACTTTATGGCTCATCAAGTATGGGTGACCAAGCTATCTGTTAGAAAGGTATCTGTCAGTGGTAAAAAGCAATGGATTTAATATCCTGCACACCTGAATTTAAAGTTCAGCTCAGAAACCCCCTGGTCACATGAAATTTGGACTTAAGGAGCTCACGGTTCTAACTTTCAGACTTGCCATAAGAATGGAATAAAAATCAGGACCCAGCAGTTAGCATAATGGCTATGTCGCTGGACTCCCATGTAGTCAACCACAGTTCGCGTCCCAGACCTGGTGGCTTAAAACTCAGGCCGGGCACGTGTGCGTGCCCAAGATCCCAAGAGGAGAATGGAGAAGGGGCTGCGGCGTGGCCATCCCCCCTGGGGGGGGATTTCTCCCTTTCTGTCTCTCTGTCTCTGTCTGACTGGTAAGCGCATGCACCCTATAGCAAAAACCTCTCCAAAAAAAAGAAAGAAATAAAAATCATATTAATAAAACATGTTTTGTTCAGTGTATCCTCAATAAATGTCATCATCATTTTTGATGTATGGAAATTCATATTTACCCTAATAAAAGGTTAAAGAACAATAACAAAAATGAAAAAAAACTTATACCAAGTGCATGTGCATGTGTGCCCAAAATCCTGAGAAGACTAGAGAAGAAGGGACTGATAATCTCACCAGGGGGGTGGATTTCTTGTTTCCTATCTCTCTGTGGAGTACACTAGCAAAAATCTCTCAAAAAAATTTTATTTGTTTATTCAATTGTATTCATCATTATTATTATTTCAATTTACCAGAAAGAAATAGAGACAGAGAGAGAACAAGAGAAAGTGAGAAAACAAGCCACCAGGTCTGGGACTAAAACAACGGTCGACCACGTAGGAGTCCAGCACCCTAACCACCATATCACCTGCTGGCCCTGAATTCCTTTTCTAAAAAGAAAAAAACACTTTCTGGCAGAGCCAGCAGGTGGTGTGGAAGTTACAGCAGCTGGATCCAACACAGTCAACTGGATGAGTCAAGTCCTGGACCCTGTAGCTTGAAAACACACCAGGATGCGTGTGCAAATGTGCCCAAAATCCCAAGAGGAAAGCAGAAAAGAGAGAGTGGTGTGGCCATTCCCCTGGGGGTGGTGATTTCTCATTACACTTTCTCATTTTTCTGTCTTTCCAGCGAGTGCACATGCGCTATAACAAACTAAAAAGAAAACAAAAATGCACTTTTTTAAAAAATTTATTTTTATGTAACTTTATTTATTTTAATTTGACCAGAGAGGGACAGGGAGAAAGAGAAAGTGAAAAAGCAAGCTGCCAGGTCTGTCTGGGACTCGAATCACAGTAAGTTATGTGGAAGTCCAACACCCTTAACCACCACACCACCTGCGAGCTCTTAAAAATTAATAGATTTTTATTTTTTTAAGCCACTAGGTGTCTGGGACTCGAACCATGCAGTTGCCCACATGGGATCCAGCTGCCTTAACCACCATGTCACCAACTGCCCCTGGAACGTATTTCTTAAGCATTATCCATTACTAGAAAAAGAGAAACCTTGTATTATTAATAGAATTTTAAGACAAGTTCTAATTCTATTATCCTTTGGTTATATGAGGAAATTTCAAGAGCACATAGAAAAAGGAGTAAAAAAAAATTCATTTTGGTCAAAAAAAATTGAAATTCATTCATAGATTTTCAGAATATGCATGTTCCATGAACTATCTCCCCTTGTATATATATTTATATTTGATACATACATACATACATACATACATTAACCCTGTCCTTTCTGTGCCAATACAGAAAATGGGGCCTGTGAACTTATATTTCACAGGGAACACTTATTAACAAAATTAACTATTTGAAAGACTGTGTGTGCATAGCTTTCACCTAAAATGTAAAAAATTTCAAACATGTCAAATGTCCAACTGAAGACTGGCTTAGGATTGGTTACTAAACTACAGATTCATAAATAATAATGTAATTAGTGTAATTCAGAAAAGCAGGTATATGAAGGCTTAACCAATATCCTCATTGGATAAAATTTCACTGTGCCCTTATAGTAATAAGTGGAAAAGAAGGGAAAAAATACATAGCATGGGTGCCAGCAGATGGCACAATGGTTACTTCACTGGACTCCCACATGGCTGACTTGGTTCGAGTCCTGGATCCAGTGGCCTGAAAATCACGCTGGGCACATGTGCATGCATGCCTAAGATTGCAGGACGAGAATGGTGGAGAAGGGACTGTGACGAGCCATCTTCCCTGAGCGGTGATTTCTCACTTTCCCTCTCATTGTATCTGTCTCTTTCTGGTGAGTGTATGCACCCTAAAGCAAAAACAACAATTAATTAATTAATTAATTAATTAAGCACATCGGCATTTGAAACTAAAGTCAAAGACCAGCATATGGCATAAATGTTACGTCACTGGACTCCTACGCAGTTGATTGTGGTTCGAGTACCGGACCCAGTAACTTAAAACATGCCAAGTGCATGTGCGTTGTGTGCCCAAAATCCTGAGAGGAGACTGAAGGAAACGGGACTGCAGCATGACCAACCCTCTTGGGGAGTGACTTCTCGCTTTCTGTCTCTCTTTCCAGCACAAGTGCCCTGTAGCAAAACAAAACAAACCAAACAAACGGAAAAAAAAAAAAAACAACAAAAACAAAGTTTCTCTTTAAAAAAAAAAAAACAAGTCAAAAGGTCATGAGAGGCAATGTAAACAGAATTTAATCTTAGAATCTGTTTTCTTTAATATCTTTATGAAGGTAATTTTGCAGGCCTGAACTTCTAAGTGTTCCAAACATCTTTGAGTACATTAGGAAAACAGATCTGGCAATATACAAATAGATGCCCAAATGATTAAGAAATACCAGCAATATGCAACACAGATAACACTGATCTAAAAGCTATACTACATAAAGCTAAGACTCATCCATCTCATTTTCAGATAAATTTACATGTAAAGGAAAAAAAATTCCAAGTTTAAAATAAACAATACAGGGACCAGCAGGTGACATGGTGGTTAAGGGCACTGTACTCCCACATGGCCGACCACGATTCAAGTCCTGGACCTAGTAGCTTGCTTTCTCACTTTCTCTCTCTCTCTCTCTTTCTCTGGTCAAATTAAGCTAAATAAATAAATAAACAAGGTTAAATAATTCTTTAAAAAAAAAAAAGAAAATACACAATACATATATATTGGGTCATTGGAAAAGTCATGACCCATTTTTGCACAGAAAAACACAGAAAAATACATCATGACTTTCCTGATGAGCTGACATAATTAAAATTTTAAGTAACAAAGTCAGGATAACTTGTCTATGGCTATCTCCTTCCCTTCAAAGAAAAACCAAAACCCCTGCAACTTTAGTCTTAAGAAACTGCATCAAGCAGGTATCACTGTGGTTGAGGTGCTAAACCATCACATGGCCAACTGCAGTTCGAGTGCGGAACCTGGCAGCTTGCTTTCACACTTTCCATCTCTGTCTGTCTCTGTTAAGCACACATGCCCTATAGCAAAAAATGTTAAAATAATAATAATAAATAAAACTGAACAAGTAATTCTTTGAGGGAGGGGGAATACATCAAAATACAAATCACATGAAATGGGTCCTCCATACACTGCTGGTAACACCACAAATTCATGTTTTTGTAAAATACCTGATGGCAGTGTTCAAAGTCTAATAAAAATGTCCATGTTCGGGGGGGGGGAAAAATCTAGGCCAGACAGGTGGCATGGCAGTGAAAAGTAACTACACCTCACACAGCTGACCATGCAGTTAAAAGTCCTGGATCTGGCAGCTTGAAAAGCAAGCTGGGTGTGTTTACGCACGCCTGAGAGGAGAATGGAGGAAGAGGATTGTGGTATAACCATGCCCATGGGAGTGCTTTCTTTACCTTTCTTTTTCTCTCTCTCTCTGGCAAGTACATGTACCCTACAGCAAATGAAAAAGGAAAAAAATATTTGCACTTTTTAATTCAGAAATCTTTTTTGAGAGAGATTTTTGCTATAGGGCATGTGCCCACATCAGAGAGAAAGAGAGACAGAAAGGGAGAAATCACTCCCCAGAGGGGATGGCCACACTACAATCCTTTATCTTCCATTCTCCTCTTGGAACTTTGGGCATGCACGTACATGCACCTGGTGTGATTTTTAATAACTCCAGATTTCTTTCTTTCTTTTCTTAAATTTTATTCACTGTCATTATTTTATTTTATTTATTTGAAGTTAACAAAAGAGAGACAGAGGGGGAGAGAAGGAAACTGAGAGAGCAAGCTGCCAGTTCGTTAAAGTTAACGAACTCTTTAAAAGGGAAAGGACTATATTCATAAAGATGTTATCACACTATCAGTAAAAATGGTCACTTAAAAATACATACAAAAAACCTTGCTTATGAAATAGTAAACTGAACTATATAAAATTTAACCTTTGATTATAAAAATATAATAATTGGAACATGGGTTAGACAAGATTAGAAGGAAATGGAAACAGGTGTGCTAGTGGGAAAGCATTCTGGTTTACTTTTAAAATTTTGTTAGGATATTGTAAAGTTTGAAAACAAAAATACAAACCACAGACAAAATCTTTCAGATCCACACTCAGGATGCTTTGCCCTGCCAGCCATGCAGGGTGTGCACAGCTGACATTCACGGAATGTTGAAAGTTATTATCAACCAGCCACTGAAGTAACCATTTCAAATGGCAATCACAGAGTAAACTGCTTGTGTTCAGAACCCTGTAGAAAAGAAAAGAAGGAAAAACAGCCTGTTTTACTTCTCATCCTGTTTCTTTAGCATTAAAATTTTATCACACACCAATACATTTTCTTCACAAAAATGTTCATCTGAATCTAATCATGAGAAAACAAATTCAAACTGGCAGCATCTGGGGACGGGGGGGTATCAAAGGGCAGGGGTACCACTTTAGATTAAAAATAATTAAAGAGCCATTACAACTAAATAAAATATGTGATTCTTTTTCTTTTTAAAAGTTTGTCCATGTCTCCTAAAAGAAAGACAAAGAGACAGAGAGACAGGCCCATACGACCTGATGCCATGATCCATCCCAGCCTTCAAATGAGCCTTCGAGCACGGCAAGTATGTGCCCAGTGCACTCAGGAAGATCTCTGGATGTGAGCCAGGAACATTCTTGTGTGGGACTGCTTTGCGGGCATGAGATAACGTGATTTTTGATTGAGAAAAAGGAAACAATCTGCAAAGGGTATTTTTTGACATTGGGGACATTTGAGTATTGATTGTGTATTAGATATTATTTTATTGATGCTAATTTTCTTGGTTATATAGGAAAACATTAGTGTTTTTAGGAAATAACATGCTACGATGTTTAGGGGTGAAGTGTCATGATGTCTACCAAAAGTAGAGACTTTAATAAATGTTTTATAAGTGTGACTTAAGTTAAAAATTAACTTGTGACCAGGTGGTGGTGTGGTTACAGCGCTGGACTCCCACTTGGTTAACCACAGTTCGAGTCCCAGACTTGGTGGCTTGAAACTCATGCTGGGCACATATGTGTACATGTCCAAAATCCCAGAAGGAGAATGGAGAAGGGATTGCAGTGTGACCATCCCCCTGGAGGGTGATTTCTCACTTTCCCTGTCTTTCTGTCTCCTCTCCAGTGAGTGTATGCACCTTATGGCAAAAACCTTAAAAAAAAAAACAAAAAACAAACAAAAAAAACACCTAAATTAACTAACTAAAATTAAAACTTAAGAAAAGATGCAGACCTCATGTGCATGCATGCATGCATACCCAATATCCTGAGAGGAGGGTGGAGAAGGGATTGCATGTAGCTCCCTAGTAGGTGATTTCTCAACTTCCCCTCTACCAAGCTCATGCACCCTATGCAAAATCTAAGAGATGCAGCCTAGCTATGGAAGGGCACACAGTAGGCCCACTACTGCACAATGCTGGAGACTATCTGGGAAGGCTCTAGGTTTATGTCCCAGGTTTCAACATGCCAGATGCACCCATGATCCTGGCTGGCTTGCAGGACTAGGGGGAGTCTCATGTATGAAGGATCTATAAATGGTATCTGTCTGTCTTGGTGGCATGAATGAAATAAATACATAAACTTTAAAAACAAAAGAGTTACACTAGAATTCCCTGCAATGGTAGTTTGTTCAAACCAACTATTAAAGCAAAATTTATTCAGTGATACTTTATTAAAGCACTGAAAACCTGGTTATTTTTGTTAGTGCCCTGTCTTGTTCAAGGAAATATATTTTCCTTTCCTTTGGAAAATATAACCATTTTCTCATTCTTTTGTTCATGAAAGACCAGCTTATTCACCTGGTTCTTAGGACTTGGTAATGAAGAATATATGCTATAAGAGGTGGTAAAGGAGTTATACATTTAATGAGAATGTTATGAATATAAAAGAAAACAAAACATAGTGGTTAACACAAATTATAAACTCAAAAGCCTGCAAGGCAGTCAGTCAAGATTTCTAAATATTGAACTCAAAGTATCCTCAGATGGAGTGAGGCAGGCCACAACAATATGACATGTTTTCCTGGTGCACAGTGTGAACGATTCTAGTAATGTCATTGAGAGTTAAGGCAAACTCTGAGTGGTCCATATGGCAACAGGCATGAAGGCTGCCCATGCATAATCTCTCTCCCTTATTTTTTTAAAGAATTATTTATTTTATTTAATATTAATTTTTAGTTTGACCAGAGAGACACACAGAGAGAAAGACAGAGGGAAAGTGAAAAAGGAAGCCACAGCTCCAGTACTAGAGCCACAGGCAGCCATGTGGGAGTCCAGCACTTAAACCACCACGCCAAATGCCAGCCTCTATGCAGGATCTCTTGCAGTGATTTCCCTAAGTTTTTGTCATCTTGCTAAGACAGGAGGGAGGGAGAAAAACTGGAAACATTCATTTGGAGAGTTGTAGCCAGATATAAGAGAAAACTATTAGGTTGGCGGGAAAGTCAAGACAGAATTTTGCACAGAAAAGTAATTAAGTCATCATTTCCCCTGATGACCTAACAAAAGAAGAATTTGGAAAAGGTTGGCAAAAGGTGCAAAGTGGAAACCACAAGAGTGTGTTATAGTTTCCATTGAAGCAAAAAATTTCTTTCTATAGTCACTTCTTCCTTCCATTCTCAATTTGTAAAATAAGTCTGATCTCATTAGATTTGATCTGATTATTCACCTAAGTGCAGCAAAAGTGTCAATTGACCACAATTTTTGCTAAATTTTTCAAAAATATCTTAGACTTTTTAAAGCCTCTCAATACTAGGAGACCAAGCCAAAAATTCACCACCAGACTTCACTTTCAGTACCTAGAGAATTAGGTGAATTCCTCTTTTCAAGGTTCTTCAAGTACCCTGAAGTTTCTGAGACTGTCGAGTAACTGAGCACAGTTGTTAATCCCTGTGCATAGGAAGTCACATTCCACATGGCAGATTGGGGCATGCACGTACATGCACCCAGCATGAGTTTAAGCCACCAGGTTCAGGACTCAAACCGTGATCAACTACATGGGAGTTCAGCGACACAGCCATTACACCAACTGCTGGTCCCAACATTTATTGATTTTGATCTATTAAAACTAGAACTTTTTTCCGAAATTAAAAAATCCATTTAAGAAAATACCTATTTAATGAGTGCAGTAAGCTATAAAGCCCCAGCAAGGTGCAACTTTATAGTATGTTTACTTTACTTACCAAGGTTTACGCCTGAAGTCAGACATGTGATCATAAATACGTATATATCAGCAGTGCTTGCTACTGAAAGTCTTTAAATTAATTAAGATCTTTAGTGAATCAATAAAATGTAAAAAAAAAAAAAAAAAAAGTATGGAAAACAACTGAACATACCAGAGACAGTGTGGGAGAAGGCGGGGAGTTGGCAGAGGGTGAAAGGTAGGGAATCAAGGGGGCGGCAAGATATGTAAGAAACAAGAAATAGAAAATTACTTGTTGATGATAGCATGTATGGTAATATCCTTGACTAAGCCAATATACAAAGTAAACTGGATGAAAAATCTCATTCTGTATACTGTATTGATGTACAGTGAATGATTGTAAATAAATAATTTTTTTTTAAAAAAAAGAGCAAACCAATAGAGTGAACTCATAGCCTGGTAGTTAACTAAGCTGGATCTCCACCGCTGACTGTAGTTTGAGTGCCAGTTGTGATGGCCTGGGAGACAATCCAGGTGCATGTGTGTGCAAGTCCAGAATCCTGGCGGGATGGGGAAACAGAGGAGGAGCGACTACAATGTGACCATATCCCATTGGGTGGTGCTTACTCCTCTCTCTCTCTCTCTCTGTCTCTCTAACAGGCACACATGCCCTCTGGCAATTAAAAAAATAAATAAATAAGACTGGCCCTGTAGTCACATGGACAATCACAGTTCACATCTGTGCCTAAAAATCCTGACAGGATGAAGAAATGGAGGAAAAGGGACTACAATGTGACTATGGTCCTTCGTGGGGTGTTTTCTCCCTCTTTGGCAAGTGTATGCACTCTCTGTTAATAAATTTAATTTTTTTAAAAAGAGAAAATAAAACTATGTATGGAATTCAAAATTTTATACCAAAAAGAAACTCACATTTTAATTTCCTTTTCCATAAACTCTTTGAATCCCTATGTATCACTGAAAAGTTCACTTACAAATCCACTTACATCTACTTAATTCACTTATAACAATTATGCTGAGTTACTCATGAAAATTTCATGAGACACTGAACAAAGCTAGCCATTCTAATTACTTTTGTTGATAAATCAGGCAAGCATCAAATACATCACAGAAACAAAGAACCTAAAAAGTTAAACAAATGGTTCTCTATTTTTGACTACATACTTTTTTTTATTTTTATTTTTACAATAGAGTGTGTGCTCACTACAGAGATAGGAAGAGAAAAAGTAAGAAACCACCACTCAGGGGGGATGGCTGCACCGCAATCCCTTCTCCTCCAGTGTCCTCTTGGGATTTGGGACACACACACACATTGGGAGTTGGGACACACACACACACACACACACACACACACACACACACACACACATCCAACGTGATTTCTCAAGCCACCAGGTCCAGGACTCAAAACACACAGTTGGCCATATGGGATCCATGCCACCTGTGGGCTCAAAACACACAGCTGGCCATAACAACCATGCCACCTGTGGGCTTATAACTAAAAACTTGATGTGCATCAAGAATTCTTTCTTGGGAACAGCAGTTGGCGTAATAGCTATGTTGCTGGACTCCCATGTAGTTGACCATGGTTCGCGTCCTGGACCCGGTGGTTTAAAACTCACCCGGAAGCATGTGTATGCGTGCCCAAGATCCCAAGAGGAGAATGGAGGAGAAGGGATTGCAGCATGGGGGGGGTGATTTCTCACTTTCTGTCTGTCTGTCTGTCTGTCTGGCGAGCGCACATGCCCTATAGCAAAAACCTCTCCCCCATTCCCCCCTCCCCCCCAAAAAAAACAAATTATCTCTTATTGTATATTTGTTCTTAGGTTAGATTTATACTTTCAAAATCTTTTACTTAAATTTGAATGTTAATTGTGAGGGTGTGGTACATATGCATGTGGTATCTCATGATTATTTTTTGGGGGGTAGGCAGGTTTAGTCATGTTGGATTCTCTTCTTCAGCCTCCTGAGTGGCTGGGACCATGCACCACCACTGCACTGCTCTTTGAAACAGGATCTTGCTATGTTGCCCAAGCTGGCTGTCAGCTCATGATCCTCCTGCCTCAG